AAGGAAGAAAACACACCCTCATTTGCGTGTCAGCATAAAATTTCTCGGGAAGGATAAACAAGAGGCTGATAACATTTACTGTCCCCAGGGACAGGGTTAAGAGAAGGGACCCTTCACGGCACACCATTTTCTAGCTCTGGCATTTTTAATCATATGAATTCATTATCTGGTCATAACAAATAATTTAGCTTTTTAAAAAACTTTAACAGTTGCTAAGAGCAATCAATAGTTGGTTCTCTTCTATAGGTCTATGAAACGTTTTAAAATTTTATTAGGCATTTGAGCTTACATTGCCTTGAAGAAATAATAACTACAGCAAGGGTCAGTAAACTTTTTCTGTAAAGGGTCGGAGAGTAAGTATTTTAGACTTGCAAGTAGGTCATGCTCAGGTGGTCCCCGTTGCAACTAGTCAACTGCAATTGTTTTCAGAAGTAGCCATAGACAGTACATTAATGAATGGATGTGGCCTTGTTTCTGTATAACTTTATTTATAAAACCAGGCAGTGGATGGATTGGGACATAGGCTGTAATTTGCCAGCCCGTAAACCTACAGAAATCAAAGCCCTAATGATCATCCTTTGCTTCTAAAATAAGTTGGCGTTCTTTTTTCTCTAATGCTGAAAGAAATAAAAATGATTTAATGCCAGAAGCTTCTCCAAAAAGATCGTGTTGCTTTTTCAACATCATACTGATATTTCAAGCAAGCTATTTGTTGACCATGCTTCAGTCACCCCTGACCTTTCCATTCCTTGAACACGTTTCCACCTCAGGACCTTTGCACTTGCTGATCCCTTGGCCTGGAAGAGCTACCCCTAGACCTTGGCATGCTGGCCCTCTCTCTTTGTCCTTCGGTTCTCAAGCAACAGGTTCTCCCTGGCCAGTCTAGCTAAGTAACCCCCACCCACCATCATGCTCTATTACATCACTGGTTTTACTTATCTGGGATGATAAATGCTATCTTTAAATGACTTAAATTTTTGCTTGTTTGCATGTGGTCTGTTTTCCACAGTGAGCAGGTGAGCTCCAAGGTATCTCGTTCATTAGAGCTCCCCTGGCACTCTGTTGACACACTGTTGGTTGTTCTGTTGGTAAGCCTCTTCAGCTCTCATAGCCTGGGCAAACACGATTCTCCTTGAAGCAATGGGGACCAAACATCTTAGAACGGGACCTGTTGATTCACTCTTTCTACGACTATTTACTGAGTACCTATTATGCATCAGGCACTGTTCCATACTACTGGGAGACTTTAGTGAATACAACTCAAAAACCCCTGCCCCTAGGGGGCTTCCATTCTAGCAGGGAGGAGTGGAAGGCAATGAGTAATAACTATGATATATAAGAAAATTGTAAAGAATGTTAGAAAGTTATTAGTGCTACGGAAAAACCGTAAATACAGCAGGAAGATGAGGCAGGCCTCACTGAGAAGTTAACATCTGAGCAAAGACTTGAAGGGAGGCGAGAAGGTGGGCATGCGAGGAACATATAGGTGATACCCGTACAGAACGGTGAGCCCTGGGGCAAGAGCATGCCTTGTGTGTATGAGAAACAGCAAGGAGGCTGGTATGGTTAGAGCAGAGAGGGGAGAGAAGGAGGAAAGACAGGACGTCAGGGAGGTTGGGGGATATGATCACACAGGGCTTTGTGGGACATCCACCGTAAGGATTCTGGATTTACGGAGTGAAATGGAGAGTTGTTGGAATTTTGAACAGAGTGCCATGATCTAGCTGCTTTATGGAACACAGACAGACATGAGGGAGAAGGAGGGAATAAGAGGAACCAGCTAGAAGCCTCCTAATAACCCAGGTGAGAGGTGACGGAGACTAGAGCACAGTGGCCGAGGTGGAGGTCATGACAAGGGGTCAGATCCTGGGCAAATTTGCAAAGTACAGTCACAGGGACTTCCTGATGGCTTAGATTGGGGGTGGGGGTAGGGTAGTGGCTGAGAAAGAGGGGATTTCTGACCGAACAAGGAAGGAGGGAGCAGCCCTCAAGTGTGTGGGGAAAAGCTGGGCTGTGCAGATGCAGATTTTAAGCGGACAGATTCAGTTTCAGACACTTTCTATTTCAAATAGGTTTTAGGAGATAATGCATAATCTGTGTCAGAGTCCAGGACAGAGGTCTAGCTTGGAGGTACATACCTGTGAGCCATTGTCACATGGATCATACTTAAAGCCAGATGAGATCATCAAGGAATACAGATCGAGAGGAGGAGATGACAGGGATTGGGCACCAGGAGCTCAAAGTGAAGTAGGAAGGAAGCCAGAAGACTGGAATTACAGAGGCCAAGCAAGGAGGAGGGAGCATCCACCCCGTCAAAGCTGCTGATGGGTCAAGGACGCCAGACTGAGGACAGGCGATTGGACTGAACCATACAGAAGTCACAGGGGCCCTGGAAGGGCAGTTCTGGCTGAGTGGTGTGCGGTGAGTCTAAGGCAGTGAGAGGAGAGGGATTGGAGACAGCAAGTAAGAACACTTTCGAGAAGTTTGGCTGCAACGGGGCACAACGACATGGTGGCAGCTGGTGGGGAGAACCACATCAGGGAAGTTTGTTTTTGAATGAAGGCGTGCTTGTGTGTCGATGGGGATAATAACCCAGCAGGGAACGAAGAACTGAGGACATGGGAGAGAGAACCACTGGGGCTGAGTTCTGGAGCCAGAGAAGAGGGGGGGCCTGGATTTAGACAGAAGCATCTCGGGGCGGGGGGCACAGATGCTCGGAGTCTGCAGACACTCTCTTCTGACTGCTTCCATGCTCTCAGTGACGTAGCAAGCAAGTGGTGAGGATGGGAAAGGAGATGCTGGGTTTGCAGAAAGGGGAAACTGAGTCACTTTGGTGAGTGGGGCAGCAAATCGATGAAGGATAGAAAGGATGCTTATGTATCGGCATTGAGGACCCGGCTGAGGGCTCAGTATCAAGGAGGAGAAGACCAGTCTGAAGGGTTAGTAATGGTTTTGAAGGCATTTGTTCAATTACTCCTCATCTTGTAGGTCAACTTCTCCCAACAAGTACAAATTGAGATACCTCTTAGGGATGTAATGAAACAATGTTAATAGTTAAATCTCGGGGCGCCTGCCTGGCTCCGGCAGTGGAACACGGGACTCTTGATCTAGGGGTTGTGAGTTTGAGCCCCATGTTGGGCGGAGAGTCTACTAAATATATATTTAGATCTCAGGAAAAGTACTTTTCAAGAGACTGCCATCAGAACCCTGACACTGATCCTCTGTTTCAACTTGTGATCCACAGTCAATGGAGAGCCATTCTATTTTACCCTAAACTCACAATGGAATTTGCATTCTTTTCCAATAGCCTCCCATTTTGTTACTTGCATCCTCCGTCCCTCACCTAGGGTGATGAGAAAGGGCAAGAAGCCAGGTGCAATCCAGAGGGGGAGCTAAGAAAGCCCTTTCCCTTCATGACACAGAACCAAGCAGATACTTGCTAAGTGCTGAATTAATGGCGTCTAATCATAAACCTCCCAAACAAAACAGGATCATGACAAAAGTGCCAGGGAAGACAAGTGTAAGCTAATACAAAAAGAAAGGCAACAAACAGATAAATCCATAAGGTGAGACCGTATTTTGGCTAAGGATGTATGTAACCCCTTTTCACACCAAAGACATTTTATGACAAACAGTGCGATATTTAGATAATCGGCACACTAAGCAGCCCCTTCCCTATTGCCATATTCAGGATGTGAGGCACACACACACACAGTGCCAGAAATCAATCGGGATTCACCAAGTCATAACGGTTGCTTCATTGAGCAATATGTTTTATATTTTCTTTACTCAACGGAAACAAAACTTGTCATCCATAAAAACAATCCGTATGTACCACTCAGGTGCTTTTTTATAAACAACACCAGCTCTAGAAGAATCCACCTTCTCTCAGTGACACCTGACATACCCCTCCTGCAGACGCTCTTTGGGTTCAAACGAAATGTTTCTATACCAAAAGTCATCTGGATCTTTAACAGGTCTTAAAACAATCTGCACCAACCAATTCAACCAAACAAGAAATCATTAAAGTCTGTGCCTGCCACGTCAAGTTCCAGCTTTGTTCTACCAACAACTTTTACACATTTTATCTAAAAGCACAAATTTCTTGGATAATTTCATCATTAAAAATGTAAGCAGTCCAAGCACTTTTAAAATGCTGCTCCACAGGGTTCTTAACAGGCTGCTGGACGGAACACGGATTGGGAGAAGCATTTTGGAAAGCTGTCTACTTAAAGCTAAATACCTATGACCCCACAATTCCACTCCTGGGTGTAGACAGACTTCATATCCCCAAACAGGAGACGAGCAATGGCCTCGTGGCAGAGGAATGAGTGAACTGTGGTATACTCACACACCCAAATACCAACCACCAGTGAAAAGAAACAAGCTACCACCATTATACAGCCGCATGAATGAATCTCCCAAACATAGTGTAGAACAAAAGAAGTCAAACACAGACTGCCTAATAAGTCAATACATTCAGATGAGGTTCAAAAACAGGCAAGACTGTCCATGTCATTCGAAGTCAGAAGAGTGGACAGCCATGGGAGGAGGGTGGTGCACCGGAAGGGGCCAGGGGGCCTCTGGGGCTGGGTTTGCCTGTCTCTCCATCTGGGTGCTGGTGACACGGGGGGTGTTCACTCTGTGAAGATTTCTGGGGCTGAACACTTTTAATGTGCACTTTTCTCTCTCTATATATTATATTTCAATTAGGAGTTTTCTGAAAAAAAAAAAAAAATAAGTAGCTCCAAAATTCAGAAACTATCCTTCAAAAAACAAAACAAAACAAAAACCCAGACCTAAGGGCAGTAACTTAGTTTTTATTTTTATTGTTCTATGAAAATGAATCTTCTCTATCAAAAGCAATGGTTTCTAACTGAAATATCACCTTACATAAAAGGGGAAAAATATTTAAAGGATTATACGGTATAAATGAGAATATAAATTATTGTTACATCCATTTTGCAGTTAACAAATAACCTTTTTCAATATCAACTTACCTGAGTTGCTTTGCATAGCTGAGTTCGATCTCTGTCCTTTCCTTTACAAATTTGATGTATTTCTCAAGAATGTCAATTCCCCACTGTGTGTGTTTTTCTAAGTTGTCAAATTGATCCTGTTAAAAAAAACAAACACAGAGAGAGAGAGAGCTTATAATCCTTCTCTGTGATTAATATAATTTCAGTGAACAATTCTCTCAACAATATGTCGCTGTGTAGAAAGCCGTTCTAATATTTTCCATGATTGTACTGGGTGCTTTTCTTGTTGAGCAGTTTTAAATCAACATTACCAAATTTGGTTTGAAAACTGCCTGGGGTACTGAACTCTGACCCATTCGTTCATGTTAGAAACATGGTTTGGGGATATAGTTAATGTCCTGGTGCAAAGGAAAATATCTTTTCCAGATTCCAAAAACCGAGAGGTGAAACACTCACATCAACTCACTCGGGCTTGCCAGCACCTTACCTGTTATCTCTGAGTTATTCAAAACAGCTCACTGAAAGTTGGGGCAAGCAAATGGGAATAAGAAGAGTTACAAAATACTGCTTTCTTCAAACATAAATAAAATGACTCATGCGGACCTTATTCAAACATTTGAACATTTATCAAACCCACACTGTGGGCCAGGAAAGGAGCCGGGGAACCGAAATGAACGGAAACAGAGCCCCATCTTGCAGAGTGCCTGAAGGTTCCTAGCCTGGGAGAATGAGAGGGGGTGGGTATTCCAGCAACAGCTACTGCAAAAGTGGGGACACATCCAGGAATCTGGGGATCGGAGAGGGGGGGACGAGACTTGTCCCTCTGGAGCGAAGGTGGGGCGAGGGCTCAAGGGAAGGATGGTGGTGGGTAAGAAACTGGAAAAAGTCCCTGCCCATCACCCCAGGCCTCAAACAACAAGCAAAGGAGCTCAGCCTGTCTAGTGCGCACACGTGAGCCGCTGAATTTGCAAGGAGAGAGGCACACCCACAGACATGTTTCGAATCGCCAGGAGGTGGAAGTCAGGAGATAGCTCCTTAGTCCAGATGAGAGAAAACGGGAGGAGAGGGAAGGATGTCCAGACCCGTAACAACTAGAATCAACTAGTCTTAGCGGCCGATTGCAGGAGGAGACTGGAAAAGAATATGAGGCAGAGGCAGGATTCTGGGGACCTCCCTGCCTCTGGCTCTGGGGACTAGAGAGTCGATGGGCAGCAGTTTGGGGTGAAGTGACACATTGTGCGAGGGAGAGACATGTCGGGAAGGGAGCTGGAAACACAGATCTACTGGGAGCTCAAGGAGGGAGGCCTGTGAGCTGGTGGATCTGAAGCAGCACCCAGGGATCTGAGGAGAGGGTCGGCAAAGTGGGCAGCAGCTCTGCACTGAATTAGTCAAGAGGGCCTGGCCCAGGTGGGAGAGACCAGAAAGGCCTGGGAAAGCGAAGGGAGTGTCAGCGCGACATTGCAGGGAAGGGAGAGCTGCCTCGAGAGAACGATGGACTGTCTGCTGTCCCCCGGGGAGACAGCAGCAATAGAGAAATGCGAGTTCTGGCCCCACCCTGGGACTTCACCGCTGGGGGGCCACCGAATGGAGCAGAGTGTAGTCATTTGCCTAAAGATGCAGAATCAGTCCCTGCCTAATTTCACAGCTCAGTCATGAGGATCATGGAAAATGGGAAAGAGTCAAATGAAGTCTAAAAAATACAAAGCCACAGTTTAATCCTATCACAGGTGTTGTGCGATCCTACAGGACACACTCCTGTAGGCAGATGCTTCAGCGCCATCCTTCAGCTTGGTTTTAAAACCTAGCTCCTCCCACCTAACACGTGTCCTCCTGCTTTCATCCTGTATTCCATTCAAAGCTGTGCAAACCAGAAAATGAGTACACAGAGTTCCCTAGAAGTCTACCTTGGGTGGGAGTGGGCACCCTGCAGAGCCAAAAGCACTTTTTCTCCAACGTCAGAAATTCTCTTCTTGAAGAAAACTCATTTCCTCAACCTTACCCCCGCCCAGGCCCACAAGACAGTTTTAGAAACTAAGGTTTTACTTTCCTGGAATATTTTTCTCATGAAAAAGATTTACTGTAGAATGTCTTTAAATCCAATAATGGTTTACATTATCATAAAAAACAAGGGACAACTATTTAAGGTTTTCGTTGATTCTGGGTCCCCAATAATATATTCCACCGACATCTAGGTTCCACTTCAAGGAACACTAGTCAGGAAGGTGATTTATTTATGTCCTCTGTAAAGACAGGGGTTGTCAAGCAAATTAATAGTGTAAACAAGACTGTAGGTCACTTCAAACTACTTGAGAGAACAAATATACAAACAATTCAAGTAATGATTACAAATCATTCCTAGCTATTTAGAGCAAAGCTTCTTTAAAGCTCTGGGCTGGTTGGTAACCCTTTGCTAACCAATTTCATAGCAATCCTATTTATTTAAAAACTCCTTTCCAGACCCCTCCCTCCATTTGATAGTCCTCTCTCTGTTTCATCTCCCATCCCCAGAACCTTATTATTTTCAGTAGTTGTAGGGTTTCCTCGAAAACTTGTTAACACCATCTGCTCTTAGATTGTCCTGCTGATAATCTCACTACATATTTTTCCCTATGAATATGCGATTCTTTTTTTGTTTTTAGCTTTGATGTATAGAATACAGAGCAACAGCTTTTGATAACAAAACTCTTTAAAAAAAAAAAATCTACATTTGAATTGAGTCTACCTTAAAAATTACTGGCCCCAAACCAACAATATGTTTTCAATAAAGTTATCTGTATTCAGGAACATTCTGCAAGCTATAATAAAGCACTAAAATAAGGTCAAAATAAGATAGAAGATCTTAATACTAAAAACCTTACTCAGTAGCAACAAATAAACTAGTACTTGTTTGTCAATATAGTATCATTATTTTTATCTATATTAAAACATCTCTTGGGGCGTCTGGCTGGCTTAGCAGGTGGAGAGTGCGATTCTCGATTTCGGGGTTGTGTGAGTTTGAGCCCTATGCTGGGTGTAGAGCTTACTTAAAAAAATAATGAAATGAAATAAAATGTTGTCACAAATAAAATTTTTAAAAAATACTAAAACATCCTTAATGATGCCACACTCTACTGCTCCCATCATGGATTGCTCCAGCATGGACTTTTTTGACAGCAGCTAAAAGCAAATTCAAAACAGATGAAAAACTAATCAACCCACTTACATTCTTGACCAAAATGTGGAAAACTTAATGGAAAAACATTCCAAATCTTAAAAAGACTCCTTTGTGAGCAAATATTATAAATGGCCCTTGAAAAAACAGCCTTTGCCACTTTGGAGATGGGGCCATTACCGAAAATGCACATCTTCCCTTGTGATGTTACATAACAGCAGTTCTGAAGACCCTTCTGTCCTCTTAAAAATCATTAAGGACCTCCAAAAGCTTTTATTTATGTGGGTTACGGCTATCGATATTTACTGTATCAGAAATTAAAAACTGAAGAGTTTTAAACATATTAATTCTTTTAAAAAGACGACACTAAATCCATTACATGTCAAAATAAATAGCATTGTTTTCTTTTTAAAAACTTTCTGTTCAAAACAACAACAACAAAAAGTGAGAGAACGGGCACTGTTTTACATTTTTGCAAATCTCTTTAATGCCTGGCTTAACAGAAGACAGCTGGATGCTCCCATGCTTCTGCATTCAATCTGGTGTGATTCCTCACTTTGGCTGAAATATGTGAATAAAATAAGACTTCGTGCAGATATGTAGTAAGAAAGTGGAGGAGTATTTCAATAGCCTTTTTAGGTAATTATAGCTATTAATTGATACCACACCGAGACTCAACTAATAGTAGCTTCTTAAAGGTTAGTTGCAATGTGAAATGTGAAACCATCCCCCCAATTTTTCATATCGGGTTACAGTAAAATGCACTTGTCGATCTCGTACTTTGAAGGGATCTTTTACCTGCACATGATTGTATCACATTATGCACTAGTCATTTAGAAAATATCATTTCACTGATAACTTGCAGATCTTCCAAGTGCTGCCACATTTCATTACAAAATATTTTAAAATCACATTTGTTCATATTGCTACCTGTCTCAGCTTTTCCAATGAGTATTTTTTAAATTTTTTATTTTTTTAAATATTTTTAAGATTTTTTTTTTTTTTAAAGATTTCATCCGAGAGAGAGAGAGAGAGAGAGAGAGCACATGAGAGGGGGGAGGGTTAGAGGGAGAAGCAGACTCCCCGCCGAGCAGGGAGCCCAATGCAGGACTCGATCCAGGGACTCCAGGATCATGACCTGAGCCGAAGGCAGTCGCTTAACCAACTGAGCCACCCAGGCGCCCAATATTTTTAAGATTTTTTTAAAAAAATTTATTTGAGTGAGAGAGAGAGAGCACAAGTGGGGAGGAGGGACTGAGGGAGAGGAAGAAGCAGACTCCCCGTCGAGTAGGGAGCCTGACCTGGGACCCAATCCCAGGACCCTGGGATCATGACCTGAGCCAAAGGCAGATGCTTAACCGACTGAGCCACCCAGGCACCCTATTTTTCTTTTTTTTATAAGCTCTATTCTATGGGGCTTGAACTCACAACCCTGAGATCAAGAATCTGATGAGTCTTTAAATACTGGGCAGCTGTCAAGCTCACAGTGGCAAATGCAAATTTTCCAAAATTCTAATTTTCACTTAAAAGCTAGAATTCCATCATTGGCAACAAATAGTCGTTTCCTTAAAGAGACAGGCTCACTTCATTCATGTTTGAGAAAATACCTGCCAAATGCCCAAGAGTTTGTCCACCAGTTGTTCTCTTAAGTAAAAATGGTGTCCACGAAAAAAGCAGTTATTCAGCTCACAACACAATCACCTGAGTATCCTGGTGACACTAAGTGCTTTAGGGATACTTCCCATCTTGTCATACATACTATTCAAAAGGTGTATATTCAACATTTGAGATTTAATAGAATTACTAATCTTACTGTTTCACCGAGGGCATTTTTAAAAAAAATTCTTTTTAAAGATTTTATTTATTTGAGAGAGAGAATGAGAGAGAGAGCAAGAGCACAAGAGGGGGGAGGGTCAGAGGAAGAAGCAGACTCCCTGCTAAGCAGGGAGCCCAATGTGGGACTCGATCCCGGGACTCCAGGATCAT